TATATTTTCGTCCGATTTAAGGTAAATTGTGTATCAAAGTACTTTTATATGCTTCGATTTGCACAAAATTTGGCTTAGCGTTCTAAATTGAGTCTAGAATGATGAGTTGTGAGTTTCGGGGAAATCGGTCGAGATTTCGATATAGCTCCCATATATATGCTCATCCGTTTTTATGTAAATGATGCACCAACGTCCCTATATATCTTTCGATGTGTGTTAAATTTCGTGGATATCGGTTCCGATTTAGATATAGTTCCTATATATATTTTCGTCCGATTTTCGGTAAATAGTGCACGAAAGTCCCTTTGTATCCTACGATTTGGACGAAATTTCGCATAGCGCGCTGAATTAAGTCTAGAACGATGTGTGGTGAGTTTCAGGAAAATCGGCATAGATTTCGATATATCTCCCATATATATTTTTGACCGATTTTATGTAAATGGTGCACCAAGGTTCCTATATATATCCTTCGATTTGCACAAAATTTGGCATAGCGTACTGAATTAAGCCTAGGGAGATGTGTGTTAATTTTTGTGAAAATAGATTATATTTTTAAAAATTATAGATTGTATTTTTAACAACGCGGCGTACCGAATAGAGTGTATCAATTTTGCTATAAATCGTTTTTCATAAATTTCCCCCATGTTACGCAGTCGGCTCTAAATCTGCTCGAATGAAATTAAAGTTAGGATAGGTTGGAGAAAGAGGGAACATAGACATGCAATTGTTAGGATACATATGTACAATATACCCAAAGTGGTGAAGGGTATCAAATAGTCGGCCCAGTCCGACTTTACTACTTTCCTTACTGGTTTTTGTATTGTATAATTTTGTTGGCCCTAAATATTATAAAATTTAAATATTTTTATAAAATATTGGCAGTCTGTCATTATATGAGGCTAATTATTTATGATAATTTATATACAATGTAATTTAATTTTGTTTTACAATAGAACGTTTAGCGTTTAATTGAGTCAAAGTTCAACGTACACTTTAATGACAATATAACCTAATTGCGAACAGCAGCGAATGAAAATCAAGGGCATGGAGATTTTAATTTTTAACTGATTCGAGAACAAAAACATATACGCTTGACATTAAATAAACAAGTAAATAAATTGTTAAGCTACACCGGGCCGAAGCTACAACCGTCAATTGGAATTACTCTCTAGTCTCAAGTCGAACAGCAGTCAATTGGCATTACTCTCTAGTCATCCTGAACCATCTGCCAAGTCTTGGCTTCAGAATCTTTTGATTTTTGAGATTCTTGTGAAGCCTCACTTCTTTGTCCCACTTTCGTATTCCCACATTCCTTTTTCTGTCGCTATTGACCCATACGAGAATGAAGTTTGATCTAGGCTAACTTACTTAGCTGACTTGTTGCAGAACGGTTGTTCCATAAGCCGAACTTAAAAAAAGATTTCCAAGCGTGTCGGTGTTGTGCGCATCTCCTCCAATTTGAAAAACCACGTTCCAAGATGTTGTTTTCTACTTACTCTTTCCATCTGATACGTGGCCTTCCCCATCAGTAGGCTCGCTTTATATGTCTTTTGAGCTGGGGCATTCTCATTTATTCGCAGAACATGGCCTAGCAATCGTAGTCGCTGCCGCTCAATACGACTGACTATGTCGATGTCAGCGTTTCAATTGTAAAGCTCGTGGTTCATTCGACGCCTATATTCACCGTCGACGCAGATCAGCCCGTAGATGCCTCATCTGCCATGCTTCAGATCCATATAACAGCACGGGTAGTATCAGCGCCTTGTAAAGTGTGAGTTTGGTCTGGCGGGAGGTGGCCTTATTTCTAGACTGCTTATTTAGACCATAGTAGCATCTGTTGGCCATCACAATACTTCTCCAAATTTTAAAACTGATGTCATTCGTTCTATTTATGGCGGTGCCAAGGTATGTAACATCTTTAACTACCTCGAAGCTTTAGTTCTCAAGTTCCACAGTTGGTCCGAGTCTACTGGACGTCTTGCGCGTTTATACCATCAGCTTGGTCTTCTCGACGTTTACTGCTAGACCCACTTTGGCAGACTCCTTCTCAATTTGTTCAAAGGTGGCACACAATGTTCGACCCATTATATCGATGTCATCGGCGTAGGCGAGTAACATGTGATGTTTGGTGTACAGAGTGCCATTTCTGTTCACGTTTGTGTCTCGTATGAGCATTTCCAGCAGGATGTTAAAAAGATCACACAAACTGTCACCTTGTCTGAATTCTCGTTAGGTATTGAAAGGCTCCGATAGGTCCTTTCCGACTTTAACTGCCGTATACATTTTGGAGGAATGCCGAACGTAAACAATTCTTTTAAACTCCTCTGAACGGATAGGGCTGTCAAATGCGACTTTATAGTCGACGAATAGATGGTATGTGTCGATGTGTTTTTCGTGGGTCTTTTCCAGGATTTGGCGCAGAGTGAAAATCTGGTCAATGGTGGATTTGCCAGGTCTGAAGCCGCATTGGTATGGTTCAATAATGTCATTGACCATTGGCTTCAATCGTTCACACAGCACGCTGGATAGCACTTTATATGCATGGGTAGGAGACTTATTCCTCTATAGTTGACACATTTTATCTTGTCTCCTTTTTTATGCAAGGGACACAGAATGCTGAGGTTCCAATCATTGGGCATGCATTCCTCTAGCCAAATTTTACTAAACTTCTTCGCCACTATTTGATACCAGAAGCTTTTATTGTTCATGACCTCATCTTGGATGCACCTTACCATCATCTCTTATTGATCCTTCAACATTTGATACCAGAAGCTTTTCAAAATGCACCTTCCAGATCCTCAACACGCTGTCTGTATCTGTCACCAGGTTCCCTTCTTCATCTCTACAGGAGGATGTGCCTGCATCAAAACCTCCGGTTTGGTGTTTTACTCGTTGGTAAAATTTCCGGACTTCATTCTGACTCCTGTACATCTCTATTTGCTCACACCCATGTTTTTTTTGTTCTTTCTTCTTGTTTTTTTTTTAATACGTTTCTCCTCTCTCCTTTTCTCCCGATAATTCTTCATCACATTACGTGTTGCTACTGTCTGCAGGGTTGCCATATACGCTGTGTTTTTCAGATCAGTAGAATTGCGAGACTCCTGATCGAACCATGGGTTTCTTGGTGGTGGTTTTTGGTACCTAAGTGTTGCTTTTGCTGCAGTATGTAGGGAGTGGGCAATTCTTTGCCATTGTGCTTCTATACTATTATCGGGACAAGAAGTGATTTCGTCAAGCAGGTGGGTAAGTTGAGCGGAGTTGGCCTCGGCTACCTGTTGTGTTTGCGAGTTTCCGTGTTGTGTTAGATCGCACCTTTGCTGCAACATTAAGACAAGTGTGAACTTTGGCTTGATCAGGAGAAATCCAGGTGGCCTTGTGTATATGGAGATGCTTGAATCTGGTGCTGCCAACTGTCATGTTTTTTGCTGCCGCAAAGTCAATCAACCTCATGCCGTTGTCGGATGTTTCTTCATGAAGGCTGAATTTTCCAACGGTGGACCAAAGATATTTTCCCTTCGGATTTTTACATTAAAATGTCCTAGTAGAATTTTACTGTCATGGCCGGGGCAGCGGTCATATGCTGTTTCTAGGCGCTCGTAAAATATGTCTTTGGTCTGATCATCTTTGTCTTCGGTCGGAGCATGGGCGCAAATAAGACTGATGTAGAAGAACTTCGCTTTTATGCGAATTAAAGCAATTCTCTCGTCTACTGGAGTGAATCTGGAGAGGAGGTATTTTATTCTCCTGTCAACCATAAACCCGCAGCCAAATTCATGTCTCGTTTAATGGCATCTATAATACAGTGCGTAATCGTCTAATTTACTTACGCCTGTCCCTTTCCATAGCATTTCCTGTAAGGCAATAATAACGGCTTTGTACTTCTTGAGTACATCACACATTCCAAGTGCAAATCGTGGTCCTTTATACGTTTCGGGGGTCGTCAACATTAGGGGGGTTTGGTTTTCTTTTTCTTAGTTTTTTCATAGTAGGAGGGTTTTCCGAGTGTGGGCAACTAACCCGACGCCTCAACCCATTCTTTTATAGTTATTATGGGTGAACTCACGGCACATATTAGCTCACTATTTCAAGGGATGATGAAAATAGCTACACCAGGTGACACCGCGGTTAGGTCAGTGTCCACAATTGAGATGAAAGAGAGACCAAGATAAGTCTGGATCTATCATCCCCTACGCCACCCGGTTGATCAAGGCTTGGTAATGATAATAGGTTGTGCAAAGTTTGATTCAAATCGGACATTCCATTCGCCTGATAGTATTGGTAAAGATAATAGTTTATGCAAAGTTTGGTTCAAATCACATAGTCCTTTGGCATGATATTATAAAATAATTTTCAGCAATATTTTGACTATTTGTGGGCGAGGTGCCAAAAGGGGTGAACCAGTATTCCCCCGAACTTAAACTAAGTTTTGAAGAAATATTACTGCAAAATTTGGATGAAATAGGTAACTCCCCTTGAGAGTTATCGTGAGCACCAGCCGGCCAGACAGACAGGCGGACATTTGTTATTCGTCTTCAAATTGTCTGAAATGGATTTGGTCCGAAGAAACATGGGATCTAAAACCAATATTTCGATATTTAATATTGTTAGGATTTTTATACCTGTTAGAGGGTATACAAATTCGACCCTAACGATGTTCTTTCATGTTCATTCATTTCGTATTAATATTTAACAGTGAAAATATTTTTTAAGATATGTAAAATTTTATTTAGAAAAAATATATTCTTTTAATATTACAAAAATAATAATAATAAAAAACATTTTTATATATTTATAACAGTATAAATTGGCCAAATTCATTTTAGAAAAATTTTTTTTTTTTTTTTTTTGAAAACAAATCTATGGTGATAAAAACAATAAAAAAAAACATTTTTAAGAAAATATAAAGAAAAAATAAACAGACAACATCATATATGTATGTATATTACATACATATGTATATAAATTATTTGTCAACATTTCATGTTAATGCTTGCTTGCATTGCATTGCGGTCGTTGCTATTGTTCCAATAGACGTTTATATTCAACAAGAATTTGTTCCTCCTGCACGAGTGGTAAGTCTAAATAGTCATGTTCATTGTCGGGCATTTCTTCGGTGAAACGTTTATAGGCCTTTAGCGACTCGATTTCTTTTTGTGCTTTATCCAATGCTTTGGTTACCAACGATGTGACACCCGAGGATGTAGATGGTCCTTCATTGTCCTGATTGGCAACCATGTCAGAGGCAGCGGCGGCAGCACTAGTTGAAATACGTTCCATTGCGGTTAGTAATTCCGTTTCACTGCCATGTGTTTTGATAAGAAATTCAATTGCCTTGTCGAGGCTATTTTGTGTCGTCTCCAAGGCAACACGGGCCATGTCTTCGGTGAAACCTAATTGCTGTAGTTGTGTTAGTATTTCGCTATCAGCTGTTTGAGGAGGAGGAAGACTGCGACTTAACTCCTCGGCATTGGTGTTTAATAAATCCAACTGGAATACAAACATAGAAAATATTTTACAAGGTATTGTTTTTTCTTATAATTTGTATATTTAATATAACAACAAACACTCACCGCTTTGGGTACATCATTTTTGGTACGTTTTAAGGCCTCAACGACAACATCCCTTGCATAACCCATCTCCATGAGAGTGCAAACACTACGTGGATTTACCCAATCTTTGCCATTACCATTATTTTCATGCGCTAATTTGGCATTTAATTTACGTTCTTCTTTCGAATTCTGTCTTGCCTCTCTCAATTTTGCTTTGCGGTCGTGTATAAAATTAATGGCTTGCTCTAGATTTCCATTACAAGCTCTCAAACCCAAACGCGCTTCATATGGTTCATAACCCATTTCCATTAATGCCACCACCGATCCATCATCCACCTTTAGGCCATCCAATTCTGATTCGGCAACTATTAACTTCTCGTAGGCTTCGTTACGTCGATTTTGATGAAACAATACTACACCTTGTAGTAAATGTAAACGCATTATCAGAGCCTTTTCGGCACAGCCATTCCCCTTCAACGTTATTAGACGTTGTAGATTTTCACCATACGAACGGCGAAAACTTTTCTCACAGATATCAAGGCGTCTCTGGGCATCAGGTAATTGGGTGACGTTCTGTAAAAACAAAACAAAAACAAAATGTTATTTTTAGAAGAATATTTTTTTGTATTATAAACTATTTGAATTATAACCTAACCTATAACCGGTGCAAACTATTGTGTGGGGACAATGTTCAATCATGAATATATTTTGAACATTTTCTGTCAAAATGTATTTTAGGCTTTGAAAGTCCGAAATGAGAAAATCTGTCACTTCGTTTGGGATATACGTCTCAGATATTTCTATAATGGGTGGATGAGGTATGTAGAGATATGATCCCATGTTTGGGCAAACTATTAAAAACTATAAAAAACTGTAAAAATATTAAATTACAGAAAAAAAGGTTGAACAAGTAAACCAGTAAAGTCGGACTGGACCGACTGACTATATAAGCATCAAATTTCCTGCAAATCGAAGGATATATAGGGACGAAAATATAGAACGAAAATATATATGGGAGTTATATCTTAATCTGAACCAATTTTCACGAAACTTAGCACACATCAGTCTCGACTTAATTCTGATATATAGGCACTTTACATAAAATCGGACATTCTCGAAACTTGACACACGTCATTTTAGACTCAATTCAGTACAGTATGCAAAATTTCATTCAAATTAAACAATATATAGGGACTTTGGTGCACCATTTACATAAAATCGGATAAAAATATATATGGGAGCTATATCTATATCTGAACCGATTTTCACTAAACTTAACACGCATCATTCTGGACCTATGACAAATTTCGTGCAAATCGAAGAATATAAAGGGACGAAACTATATACGGGAGCTAAATCTAAATCTGATTCGATATATATCGACTTAATTATTATTCGATTTACGGAAGTTCGAGTTATGGAAGTCCAACTGTATTACAATATCTTAATCCTTTTGTATATACAAATATTCACTTATGAGCAATGGTATTACTTCCCCAAATGTGTACACAAATAAAAAAGGAAAAAAATATAGCATACCTTTAGGCACAAATAACACCAAACAATATCCAAATTGACTAAGGCATAATTATCAACGGCTTCCAAAAATTTCGAATTACACGTTATAAACTTTTCATCCGATTCCAATAATAGTATCAATGCTTCATCATATTGTTCACGTTTCATGGCAGCTCGAGCCTTTTCATAATAGCTCATGGCCATTAGTAGGGCACGATTTTCGGCAGGTGGCAGAAATACGGGATTACCGTCTTGATCTTCCATCTATAATAAAGAAAACAATAAACAATTTGTCTATAAATAACATCATCAAATGAAAATCACACACTCATTTACCTCAAACAATTGTTGACTCGAATCGACAATAGCTTCAACATCCATTTTGATTTTACGTATACGATCATACATGGCTTCCTCATGATTTTGTGTCGCTGTCTGATCAACTTCACTGATAATCACCATTAACTGTTGATTATTCTTAAGACCTTGTGACTCCAGCGTACTATCACAATTGACAATTTTACCCGATGATATACATTTGACACGACTCGGATCGACAACATCCAATGCTTGAGCAATTTTCTCATGCAACTCACTACCTAATGCCTTGAGGCGACATTTGACTTCGACAATATTTTGTGTACCCTGGCGATTGTTAATGCGTCGTACACTGAATGTGGCCAAACCTATTATAAATCACATCAGTATTCCATAAATATATTATCTGTAGTATTATTATATTCTAATATATACCCACCAGTCTGTTCGAATTCTTTGCGAGCTGCCAATTTTCTTAAGGCACCCTCTTGCAGTTCACTTAGGGCCAATTTACAATTCGATTTCGATATGCCCAAATTACTGCTAAAGCTATCAGCCAATTTCTGTTTCAATATAGAACAATCAACACGTGTTATCATTCGAAGATTCAAAGCAGATAATAAATCTTACCTCTATTTCATCTTCGACACAGCCAACACCTTCATAGTAATATGGTTCCAACCATAATTTAATGGCCAGAGCCTGCAGACGTGCCCTCACCTGTATGATAATATTATCTATTTGGGACATCTTCACTGAACTGATGAATTGATCAAACAGAGAATCGTTCGATAAATCGAAGGTCTTCGAAATTTACAAATGCATCAATGCTTTGTTTTTCTGGTTTCTTTTTTAGGTTGGCTTCCAGATTTGTTTTGTCCCCCGAGAATGATATGCAGTTCTGTTCCTTCTTTCGACATTAATTTCACAATAAGTATATTCCTCTTTTTCTGTCGTCCGTGGTCTTTGTTTATTTATATTGATATTGCTTTGTTTTTGTTCACGTTTTATTTTGACCACGTTGTACGTGATAGGTCTCTGTATGTCGACTTTGTGTGAAGAAATGACAAGGGAAGTAGGGCGAGCATGAATGTATTTTAAATAACGGTTGTATGAATTTGTAATTGGAAAGCAGTACTGTCCGGCAAGGCCGTGATTACACGATGTGATTTCATTAAGGTGGCTCAAAGCGTATTTCTATTTAAACAAAATTGGCCAACATTTTCAACTGAATTTATTATAATTATGTATCTATCTAATTTAATATTTTGAATTCTAATTGAGTGGAAAATATTTATTCCAAACGTTTTCGATATCAAACGAGTCAATGCCGCTTCACCCAAATTTTCGATTTCTTGAGGATTTGAGATTTGAGGATTTGATTTTACAACTTAAATTAAAATAGTCTTCTCTAATTGGTACTTTGAGCTTTCATTGGAAGGAAAATCTTCCTATTAAAAGTTTTAAACATCAGTCGATCTTGCGTACAGGCTATATAAAGATTCGGACAATTTTTTGATTTGGTAACATATTTAATACAAATCACGACTGTGAGTTAAGTAGGAAACAAATAAGAGAACTTCGGGCATAGCCTGATCAAAATAAGCTGATATAAATTATTGACACCCCGTCATTTAACTTGGATTAGACCACCTCCCCATAATTGTCTACATCAGCACACCACTTTTTTCCATTGCCTCTGAACGCTGTAGACAGTGGCAGTGTGACAGCAGATTAGTTGCAGTTACAGCATCTAAAGCGTGGCAAAATTTGAATCGATGTGAGTTAATTATTTACAACGGTTAAATCGCTCTCGAACCCTGGAAAAAGGATGATATGACCTCAGTCACATTAAGTGGCGAACATCAGCTATCCTTGAAGACAGACAAGGCCGCCTGTAAAATGAATCGTACTGTCCTCATCTCACTTTTCACCTGTAGCAAATACTTTTACATGCATTACTCCTTCCCAATATTCTGGAAAGCTATCCAGTTACCGATCATCTGCAAGGGTTCCATAAGAAACACATTACATTGAGATCGCTGCAAGTCATTTTCACACATATAAGTCGAGGACTAAAGCGGAACAGCCCGTGCTATAGACCAGTGTTAGGTTAAAGGATATATACCCACCAATTGCTTAGCAGGCATATCACTCCCCATCTTTCCATTGTGCTCATGGTTATCTGAAAAAATAAGTAATGGTAAAAGTTGTGATTTTTATCTCTTACTTTGATGCAGAAGCGATGTAGTTTTACGAAGTGAGAACTCAGACCTGATAGTTTTTAAAATCCTAAAATCAGCTACTGGGTTTCTCGCAGTAACTCTCACGGATTAGGTCATACAGATCCCTATATCGGTATGGGGGATGACTGCGAACCCCCTCCAACAAATTCGTCAGCTATTTCATTCCCATATATGTCACTGCGGCCTTGCTTGAAATATTTGCCAAACGTTCGTGGAGTTTCGGAATAGAAAGTCTAAACCAAAGTGAAACAGGCTGTTCCAGGGTGGGGTGAAATTTCGGAAAATTTCTCTGGCCCCGGTTTATGTCGGTGGTAGTCTTCTTCCACGCAAGAAATTGAAAATATCGGCCATGAAATTGTCGACCACATTGCTTATCCCATAGACTGTGGAGATGAAAATGCCATATAATTCCGGTCACTAAACATTAAGGATAGGGGTTCAACGATATAAACGGGAGCCTCTGGACCGGGAAGCTTATCGATCAGGTCTGAATAGAATGTAGAATGAATGCAATCCTCGAAGCTCACCTCCCATGTTGTCGATGCAGTACATGATTGGGTGTCATCGATGGAATCATCCATGACATCACCTTATTGATAGGATTCCCCCACCGAGGCATATAAGATATAAGAAAGAACCTCAAAGTAAAAGAGAGAACCCGTAGATCATCAATCTCCCACCCATTGTCCCATCAACAAATCCCATTTGTTATGGTTGCCCCATAAGTTGATCTTAAAAAAGATTTCCAGCCGAGTCGGTCTTGTGTGCATCTCATCCAATTTGAAAGACCATTTCCGAGTTGTTGTCTTTTACTTGATCTTTCCATCGGATTCGTGGTCTTCCCCTTCTGCGTGAACCATCACTTGGCTCGTTTTATATGCCTTTGAGCTGGGACATCATCATCTATTCTCACAACATGGCCTAGCCAACGTAGTCGCTGCAGTTCGATCCGTCTGACTATGTCGATGTCCGAGAATATATGGTATAGCTCAAGGTCTATTCGATGGCGATATTCACCATCGACGCAGATCGGCCCATAGATCTTCCGGAGAATTTTTCTGTTAAACACTCCAAGAGCTGTCTCATCTTCTTGTGCAAATACCCATGCTTTAGATCCATACAACAGCACGGGTAATATCAGCGTCTTGTAGAGTATGAATTTGGTCTGGCGAGAGGGTAGCCTTGCTTTTGAGTTGCTTACTCAGACCACAGTAGCATATGTTGGCCAACACTATTCTCCTCCGGATTTCACAGCTGATTCTGCTGATCTTTGACTACCTCGAAGCTGTAATTTTCAAGTTCCATAGTTGGTCCGAGTCTACTGGACGTCTTGCGCGTTGATACCATCAGCTTGGTCTTTTCGCCATTTACTGCCAGTCCACTTTGGCCGACTCCTTCTCAGTTCGTTCAAAGGTGGCTGCTACCGCTCGCAATGTTCGACCCATTATGTCCAGTATCTTTCGCAGAGTGAAAATCTGGCCAATGGTGGATTTGCCAATAATGTCATTGACCATTGGCTTCAGTCGTTCACACAGCACGCTGGATAGCACTTTATATGCGATGGTAAGGAGACTTATTCCTCTATAGTTGGCACATATCGTCTTGTCTCCCTTCTAGCTGTTTTAAAAAAATCGAAGACTTCTGAAAATAAAACATTTCGTAATTAGAACCTCTGATATTCAATAGGCTTACAAAATCAAGTACAATTTAAATGTATTATGAGCTATTGAATAGCTAAAATTATTCATTGCTTGAATATTTGAATTCAATTCCATTATGAAATCGTATAAAATTTAACATATGACCTCTACCCTTTGGTTGCCTGTCAATTTATTTGCAATTCTTATCGATAGTGTAAATACGCCCTAAGAAAAATGTAAACAAATGAATGCAAAAACAACAGCAACAACACAATAAAATCAATCACAAACAATTTTGCCGGTTATTATCACCTATCTATCGGGCATGCACAAAGCATGTAAACAATAAACAAACCCAGCTGGAGCAACACATGTACTGAACACGTTCACACATGCAGCCGCTCTGACAAATCTGCAAAATCAGCTGATTGTTGTGCAGAATAATAACATCAAAGAATACCAACCACAGCAACAACAAAAAAGAAGCAGAAACAGCAGCAACACCACCAGTCAAGAAGAGATGTCTGATTTGACAATTGTGTGCCTGCCGTCGTCGTCGTCGTTATTGTTGTCGTCGTGTATTTAGCGAGACGCCTTGGAAAATACACAAAAATTTTCATTTTGCCAATATTGCGGTGTAAAGAAATCGTCAAATCGAATAGAAAAATATATACTCAACAAAAATTGCATTACATAACTGCGGAATTGCGGAAAATTGTGTCTTGTAAAGTAGATCACAAAAACGTGTGGGAATTTCCCAAGAAGTGAAAATTATTTTTTTCCATTTCGAGAAGTGTATTAAAGGTCAACATATAAAAAATTGGGTTTGATATGCTTCGTCGGTTAGCTGCTTTTTGTGTGTATTGTGTGCGAAATAATTCCAAAAAATCGTGAAAAAATTAAAAAAAAAAAAACCCTCCCTTCACAACAGAAGTTGCAAAGAAAGTTAGCTTTTTTGCACCTCAGGCAATCAATCATCGCAAACAAAAGTGGAATACACCTAGTGTTCGTAATTTTTTCCTTTGTAATTGTGTGCATATTGCAAATTCAGATTAATGCATTCACTACAAAATTCCCCAAAAACTTTACTAAAAACACCATCTACCCCTCAAAACCGTCAGACATCTGAAACATTTCGCCTGCTCACGGACCCACAGAAGAAGGCACACCTAGATTTAGTAGCAGCACCATCATCATCAAGCACCAAGACCTTGACACCAACACCACCACCGCCGCCATCAGCACATTCTCAAGGTTCATCGCCGGCAGAAGTAGCAGCCGACGCCGCATCATCAACAGCAACAACAACATCATTAACTGTGAAAAGATGTCCTACACCGAATTAGAGTCGGGTTACCAGGATCTGCGTCAACAATCTTCCCAACAAGCAGCTGCTGCCGCCGCAGCCGCTGCAGCTGTATCATCTCAATCCCAACATCATACCTCGTTAACAAGCAGCGGCAGTATTGAGCGTACCCATCAACGTCCGGGATTTTTCTTGGGTCATGATGGCAATGTAATTTCCTGTTTTACTAATTCATTTCAATTTTTCGTTGTCGTTGTTGTTGGTTTTTGTAGTGTAATTATTCTTATTGGTAAAACAAAAAAAAATTAATAATGATTTATGTAGAAATTGTTTATGTCGTGTAGACAACACCTCTGCCAACCCACTTCCCTCATCCTTCCGCCCCACCATGCATGGTATTTTGTTTAAATGTTTTTCGATTATTTTTCTTCCACCTCTTCTGTATTTTTTTTTTCATTTTTTGTATAGACGACGAACACATTTCGAAAAATCAATAAGTGTTAAGTTTTCGTTTGAAATGGCCTTGAGAAGTGTAGAATATATATGTAGGAATGTAATTGATGTTGTCGTTGTTGGTTGTGTCGTCCGGAATTTCTGTATGTATCACAGCAAGTCATATGTTTTTATGTGAATCTCCCAATGACGACGATGATGATTCTGCTGTTTTGCTTTTTTTGGGGAGTTTGCTGCACAAACCATCCATTTACTGTTGTTTCAAATACGGAGGGGTACAATGCGGAATGGGGCTGTGAAGAATTGCATTTAAATGGGATTACTTGTTATGTGAACAATATATTCTGAAGTAATTGGATATTTTTATGTAGGGACTTTGTGTGTATTGGCTTAAGGAGGTCACTTTTTTTTAAAGCCAATTAGATTGTAAAACATGACAATAATGTTGACATTTAATTTAATGCGATTTGCGCAACAGATCCTATTGAATATAAATAACAAATCCTTGAACGTCAAAAGAGTATTGCAATATCCTGAATTTAATCGATGTTCATGTGGTGATAATAGATATTTCACATCATATATTGTCTATTGGTATATTCTAGGGCTAACATAGGAAATAAACTACTTCCCTGATCGACATTTACTTGGGCATAGGTAATGTTTATGGGCCGTCAACAAATTTTGTTGACAATTTTTTAAACCCTAATTACAACTAAAAAATGTCACCTGAGCCCCTTGTATTTCCCCATAACTTTTGAAATTCACTAAGGACATATGGGTAACGATTTTAAGGGGTTGAAGTCCTAATAAAAAATGTAATGGTTGTACTGAATTCGATTTGGGTTTCTAAAATTGTGATCCTTATATAGACTGTCAGAATCGGCAACCTGACAGAATGTCTTTTAAAAGTAGAATATATTTAGTGGGTTGCTGGGCGACCCTTGGACCTTTTAAATGAAATAGATTTTAAGGGTACATAAGAACCTCCTTATAACTACTTTTGGTGACAATTTCAAAAGGATCCGTGACGTGCAACTTAAGCTCCTTGAATTTTCTAATGTCCGCGAACGTGATAAACTAGAATTTTGTTACTTGTTATAAAGAAATTACCATTTGACGTTCGGGCGTTCACACGGAGTTCTTTTGTGATCCATTTTTTATCATGAGTAATTGAAAAAGATATTATATAAAAGAAAGGGGATAGAGGATGCACTGAGACCCCAGTCAAAATCGGCCAACTGACATGACATAAAATAGAAAAGGCCTTTGGCCGGGGATTTAAAACTTTCTCCTGTGTACAAATACCAGCACTAAACTTCGCGACCGAATCACTTTTTTAATTAAAATAGTTTTCAATGGTACATACGAGCCCCTTTGAAAATTTCAAAACGATTCGCGACCGGGCTTTAAATTCCTTGAATATTCTAGTGTCCGCGAACGTGATAAACTAACTTAACTTGTTATTTGTTATCAAGGACTTACCGTATATGACATTCGGGCATTCTCTCGAAGGCCTTTGGTCCACTACTCATAATGAGTACTTGAAAAATGAGGATAGAAATGAACAGAGGGTGAAATTAAGTGTTATTGCTGAATAAAAAGAATATAAATAGGTAAAACGTGTCCTGTGGTTCTAGTCCACATGCTGGCCATGTGTTAGGTATCGTGTCATCAATTCCCACCTTGTAGAAATAGAGGCAGACACACCATTCTGGCATTAGCTCTGCTAAGACTACTCCTGCCAGTTTAGCTAGGTTCTTCTCTTCGGCTGCTATGGAAGTTGGATGGTCTGCAAGTATAACATTCATACGGTATTGGTCTACTCCTTTAGTGACGGCATCTGTATGACTTCCTTATCTAAAGGTTCACGCTTGTATCTTTGGTCATTTCTCTCTAGATTATAAATATCTCTAATAACTTTCCTAGGCGGGCAAAGCCTGTCTATAAGGCGAATGCAAATATCTGACAACATTTGATTGTTGCCATCTTAGTCTCCTCATGAAGAGGGTACACTGGTGTCTTTAGGATACACCCTGATGCAGTTCTCAGAACGGCATGTCTGAATATTAATTCCATTGCGTATCGCATTTTTCGCAAACCAAACTGGCGTCGCATGCCATACCACAGACCGAGCTAATGTTTATGGGAGCATCACAAGTTCTGCCGGTCAGCGACTTGAAAACCTTGTTTATACTTCTCACCTTATCGCAAAAAGCAATGACTTGCAAAGACGTCTTTAAAAGGATATCCAACATTACCCCCAATATCTTGGGGTAGTAGGTGGTCGGAATCCGTTCTCCATGTTGGTATGAAAGTACCAAACAGTTGGTGTCTTTTGCTACGTCGCATTAGACATCCACATAGGAAATGTTCGATCATTTCCAACTCTTCCTCATCCTCACATAAATGGCAACAACCCACTCCATTGATATCCCAATTGAAGGTGAAGGACCTGATTCTGTTATGAGGCTAGGATAGCAGAGTACGAGATTCTACGTTCTTATGTATCCTTGATCCTCAGATCAGATCCTCTTAATTGAAAGTTAACCAAGAGGCTCAGTGGCTGCTTGAGGTGTACGTCGGTGAGCCGCAATTATAAAGAGCGATTTTATGAGAGCTCCAAAGCCATCCCATTCCTGATCAGTAGAGAGAATTTCGAGATTTCACCTTTCTTACTGACCGTAATTCAGAATCGGAAAATATTTGTAACCCCACATAAAAGTTCCCGTTTTGGGTCCTAGCTTCATATGTCTACCGAAGTAGTAGAAGATTGACATTTGCGCTCTGAGAAAAGAGAGTTACCGGCCAAAGACTATATGCCTTCCTAGTATACATAGGCATTCTTAGTATACATAGGAAGGCTTTTACAAAAAAGGTCATTCAATAGATAGGAAGATCGTGTTATACCAGAAATTCTTCTTATAAAAAAGCAGAAGAAAGCCTGATGCTCTTTTAATGGAATTTCAGAAGGTCTGCCTTGGAGTCTTGAGTAGTAGATGTATGGTGGCTTTCTTGTGCTAGATTCCCATTTATGAAAAAATTAAGTTGAGTCATTTTATAGAAAACCGAAAGGTATTTTTAAAACATATTTTAAATAGTCTAATTTCTAAAACAAATATCGTGAGGATTTTGCAAAAAAATCCTGATAATTTATCAGGTAATGATATTGTTTAGAAAATTGAATTTTAAATTGGTTTGTGAATACATCTAATTGGATTTCTTTTCCAATTCAATTGATTATGAACGTTTATGTAATGTGCTTTAATATCGCTGCAGCCAATTAAAAATCAATATCCTAGAAAAAAGAATTGAGCAAACAAAAAAAAATAATAATAAACATCAAGATAATTTCAAACAAATCAAAAAGCCGTCATATATAGCAGCACTCAACCACCCACACACACACAATGGGTAATAGTTTTGAAAAAATCGTTTGTGCTGCTGGTGGTAGCGGCAATTGCAATGAGCCGACAAACAATTGGTCCCCTTATCGTCGCAGTTCACATTTTAGACGTAACAATGCCCATAGCTATTGTCGTCAAAATCATATGCAATGTCAGATCTGCAAACGTCAACAACAGCAGCAACAACATTTCAATCATAACCAGCAACAGCAGCAACTACAACAACAACAGTCGTGTCAAGAGTGCATGAATTGCAGTTCATGTGCTGAGGGTTTAACAACAGCAACATTGTTACATGTCAGTTCGACACCTAATCTAGGGGGTGGGTATTTGGTTTTTTTTGTCTTTGTAGGCTTCCGTGGGATTTCTGTGAAATTACTCATATCATTTCTTTTTGTTTTTTTTTTTTTTCTTTTCTTTTTTCGTTGTCACGTTTCCGTTTTTTTCTCTGTTGTCCTGCTGTCGTCTTCTTTTCTTTTTCTCTTGATAATTTTTTATTTTAGAATCGGCATCCTCTACTACACCCACCATGGATTTACGTTGTTCTTCATTTTCTTATGGGGTGGGTGTATTATATATTTTCTTAAACTTTACCCCCCTTTTTTACCATCTCACAAAAATTGTTTTCGATTGTTTGCTTTTTTTATTTCTTGCATATTTGTTTGTTCAATTTTTGTTTGCTTGATTTAAATATTTGCTATTTTGTTATTGCATTTATTTGCCTCCTTCATATTTACATTTATTTAACTGATAATTAGTTTAATTTTATTTTGTTTATCTTTTAGGAAATTTTTTGAATTAATTAGTTTGACAAACATTGCATGAAATTCTTACATACAACACCGTGGTAGATAATGACCGATACATATAGTACGTCTTGTTGTTGCTCTTTGCGATTGGAGTTTTGGGACTTCTAACAAGTTCATTCATTCATAAATTTTTTATTTAACACAGGTGTAGAACTTAGCATTGCATGCAGCGCGTTTCTTTAACAAAATATCTTAAATCTACTTTTTACAAAAATACGCCGCCGTCGTGGGAGCTGATCGGTATCGGTTTTAAGAAAGTTGAATTTGCAGCTAGTCTAATTTAGGGAAAAAGTATTCGCATCGATGCCAGTATGAGTTCGTTTGTATGACTTCGTGCTTGATCTTGATTGAAAAAAGTAGCGTTTTTCAAGCATAGATTTTAGCCATCTTGAAAGCAGAGGAGTTAGTCCAAGTACTTTGTACTAGTGATTCGGTACCAGTGACTATATAGTATACTATAAACTCTAGGCTCGTTCATGATGGTAAATCTGCACTGCGGGATATGAGACATTTAGTTAAACAATGTTGGGTTCTAGGTCATAGTGAAAAAGGGAATGGAAGTAGCTGACGAGCTTGATCGATGTGGATCGCAGACAATCGATATTGATATATCTTGCCGGTAATTTCTTAGCATGGATATAAAACATTAATTATATGGGATTAAATGGGACTATGTACACCAAACAGCATATGTTACTCGCCTACGCGGATGACATCGACATAATGGGTCGAACATTGCGATCGGTAACATCCACCTTTGAACGAATTGGGAAGGAGTCCGCCAAAGTGTGACTGGCAGTAAATGGCGAAAAGACCAAGCTGATGGTATCAACGCGCAAAACGTCCAGTAAACTCGGACCAACTGTGGAACTTGAAAACTACAGCTTCGAGGTAGTGAACGATTTTATATACCTCGGTACCGCCATAAAAAAACTAATAACATCAGCTTTGAAATCCGGAGGAGAATACTTGTGGCCAACTCAGCAACTCAAAAGCAAGACCACCTCCCGCCAGACCAAACTCATACTCCTCAATACGCTGATATTACCCGTGCTGTTATGTGGACCTGAAGCATGTGTCTCCGAAAGATCTATGGGCTGCTTTACCTTGAATGAACCATGAGCTATACCATCTATTCTCGGACATCGACATAGTCAGACGGATCGAGCTGCAGCGACTACGTTGGTTAGGCCATCATGTGAGAATGGATGAATATAACCCAGGTCAAAAGGCATATAAAAACGAGCCAAGTGATGGTTCACACAGAAGGGGAAGGGCTGCTTTACCTTGAATGAACCATGAGCTATACCATCTATTCTCGGACATCGACATAGTCAGACGGATCGAGATGCAGCGACTACGTTGGTTAGGCCATCATGTGAGAATGGATGAATATAACCCAGGTCAAAAGGCATATAAAAACGAGCCAAGTGATGGTTCACACAGAAGGGTAAGGCCACGAATCTGATGGAAAGATCAAGTAGAAGACAACCATGAAAAATGTTCTTTTAAAATAGATGAGATGCGCACAAGACCGACGCGCCTGGAAATCTTTTTTAAGTTCGCCTTATGAAACAACCGTTCTGTCTGTATTTTCGTCCGATTTAATGTAAACGGTACACCAAAGCCCCTATATATCTCTCGATTTGCACGAAATTTTGTTTTGTGAAAATCGGTAGAGAAATTGATATTGTTCCCATATATATTTTCTTCCGTTTTTAGGTTAATGGAGCACCAAAATCCCTATATATTCTTAGATTTACACGAATTTTGGTATAGCGTCCTGAATTAAGTCTAGAATGATGAATGCTAAGTTTCGTGAAAATCCGTTCAGATTTAGATATAGCTCCCATATATATTTTTGCCGATTTTATGTCAATGGAGCTCCAGCCCCTACATATCTTTCGATTTACACAAAATTAGGCATAGCGTACTGAATTGAGTCTAGAATGATGTGTGCTAAGCTTCGTGAAAATCGGTCCAGATTTAAATATAGCTCCCATATATATTTTCTTAGGTTTTAGGTAAATAGTACATCAAAGTCCCTATTATATATCCTTCGATTTGCACGAAATTTGGCATAGCGTACTGAATTGAGTCCAGAATGATGAATGGCGAGTTTAGAGAAAATCGGTCCATATTTCGATATAGCTCCCTTATATATTTTTGTCCGATTTTATGTAAAATGTGTACCGAATAGCGAGTATAAAGTTTTCTTTAAATTGATTTAAATAAATTTGTCCCATTGTACGCAAACGATTCTAAATCTGTCCGAATGAACATAGGTTGCAGAATGGCATGTCTATGGATTGATGTTAGTCGGTTCACATATAGATAAATATCACATATTTAAGTTCGTTCAATTCCATGTCAATGTTTCTTCGAAAAGGCGATGTGTAGAATATATACCATAGCTATTAATGTCTGATTTTTTATTTAGATAAAAAATACCTCAGCTAGTAGATCTAATCTTTTTCTATAGAAAAAAATGCCTTAGTTACTAAGGTCTGATTTTTATAGAAAAAGAGGTCTGATCTACTATAGAAAAATATCTCAGTTTTTGAGGTCTGATTCCTTCTGAGGTCTAAATTTGTATACCTTCTCTACTAATGTTCATAAAGGTTTCTATAGAAAAACTTCCTCACATATTGAGGTTTGTAAAAAATTAATTTGTTCTTAAAAAATTCGAAATTCGATTTTCTTCTAAAAATTGTAGTTAGTTTTTTACTTATACCACTTTTTAAAATAACCCATAACCCATTTCTCTTATTGGCAAAAATGTCTATAAAAGTTTGTTTTTGTTTGTTGTTTTTTTTTTATTTTTGTCTACGTTTGGTCTTATCAGCTTTTTGCTCTGTTCCCCTTTCCAAGCCTGCAAGTTTATCTCTATTTTTAATCAACGCCAACAACAAAAATAACATCATGCGTATGCTTTTATTTTTTGTTCTTGTTGTTTTTTTCGATTTTGTTATGCTAAGCACGCTTTACAGATCCAAACCAAAAAATTTCATTCATTTGTTTTCTGGTCTGACTCGTGTCAACAGGTGGTTGATAATTATATTTATTTTTTTATTTTTGGAAAGAAGTGTAAAAATATAAATTACATATTTAATTACAAAAAAATGTTCTACTATGACGATGTAAGTATTTTGAGTGAAACAAAAAATGTGTTACAGAAGATTGATTATACTAAGCAAAAAATAAAAAACTAGTTTTGCTTCTTTAGAAGAAATTAAAAATCAAAACAAAATGACGACTTGTGAAAAAAAAACTTAAATAAAAAGTGCAAAACAATTCTAAATATGCAAAGGAAATAAAAAATAATATAAATAAGTTACAATGTTTTTGGTAATCAACTCATCAAAAGCATCACAAAGAATCAGTACCAGTCTGGAAAATTTTGTTCCCAATTAAAAAAAAAAAAAAACTTATATGTGGTTATGTGCTTTCTCCATCAATATTTATGTGTCGATATACATTCATACATACAAATTGATATTTCAAATATTGGTGTGATAATTCAATTAAGATAAATGACAACAAACTGATTGAGTGGTTGTTTCGTTCGTTCGTTCCGTTGGTTGGTTTATTGTCTGGTAATGGCAGTGGAAAATAAACTCTTGGTTTCATCATCAAGGTTGTTGACTGTGAAGTGATGATAGATTGGTATATTGATTAGCATGCATTTGATAGATAAAAAATCGATTGTGTCCCGGACAATATTTGTGTTACCGTCAATAAGAAAAAAAAACACATTCCAACCAAAAAATATATATATATATTATGGTTCCCGGAGCCATCCATCAAGCAACTTTTTTATTTATAGCGGATCGGATATAGATCATTAATAGTTATGATTATTACTATGTAATTAATAATTTAAGTATTTCTTGCTGAAATCCATATTTTCTGAGATAATGGGTTTCAATGTTACGCTGTGACACGGTATTTCCCCACAAACTGCACCTGTGTTAAAAAATTGAAAATTTGCAAATCTTATTGAATATCCGGTTGGACTGAAACATTGCATATCGTATTTTTTTTTTAAACGAAACTAGGTGAAGTCCAAGTATGGAACCTTTCGGTCTACGTATTCTGTCTCTTTCTTCACAAAGCTTCAAAAATTAAAAAAAAAAACATTTTGGCTATATGTACTGAAAATAGCTTCAACTCAAATTCCCTATGCTACCTTAACTACAAATAGTCAATAAAATCATATGGAAGCTCCGAATTCAATAAATATTAGTGGACAGTCAACGGATTTAAGTCTCAGAAGAAAGGACCAAGTTGCTAATATCACAATATAGTCCAGGTATTGCTGTCCCAAAAAAAGGCAATTTTAATGTCACTTAAACCACTTCCTAATATCCAGAACGCAGAGGCGTTAGACAAACTTGTATCCATCAGTGTTTCACAGTTTGTTGACCTCCCCAATGACATCGACCACCACCAACTCTTTTTATACCTTTCACCACACTGTGGTACAGGGTATTCGTCTTTGTGCATATGTTTGTAACAGGAAAAATAAATCGAGATAGACCCATGGTTCCTTTTGAGTATATGAATAGAATCACTTTCTAAATCGATTTATGCATGTTCGTCCATGTATTTTTGTGAACAAAGTCAAAGTACAGGTCGCATTTATGATCCGATTTGAAATAAATTTGACACATGTCACTAAATTGGCCCAAGGACGAACCCTATTGAAATTTCAGTTCAGAATTAGATGTAGGTCCCATATATAGTTTCATCC